CTGACACAGTCTTCTCACCATATTTTTGAAATTATGGCCCTTACCGATTTCCGAACTGGTTTGCATTCCTGACCCATCAAAACACCGGCCAGGAATGAAAACCACTCTAAGGGTCTCGTTAGACACTCCTAAAAGAATCCTACAATTTTTAGGACGAGTCCTAAAGGTTTTTTAGGATTTTGTGCGGCGTCGTTACACGCAGTCCTAAAAATCATCTTTTAGGACTCGTCCTAAAAGGTTTCCCGCGGCCCGTTTTCATACGCGTATACGCAGCCGCGCCGCCGATGTCTGTCCATTCCTCGGCGGTGTCCGTGGTACAGAATGCGGTGGGCCATGGGCGGGAGTCGACGGATCGGTGCAAAGCGCGGTTCCCCAGAACTTCAAAATTTTGAATTCGAATTCTCGCGGACGCGTGCGCCGTGAAAAAGACGGCGCCTCCCTATCGACGCGTGTGATGTGAAAAAGACGGCGCCTCCCTGCCGTTCGCCGCGTGGAATCCATCTTTCGAGTGTACGCAACTTGCGAGCAGCGTGCGCATCATCGTGTGAGCCGCACGTTCGCCTCTGCCGTGCGTACCGTCCTTTAGAAGCGTGGAGCAGCGGACGCATGTTCGTCTCCTGTGCCATTGTACAGCAGCGTTGGCATCTTGGACTCCGCGTTGTTTGTCTACGACGGCAGGGTTACGCGGCGGGCGTGTCTGAGGTGGCTGTCGAAGGCGTGACGTGGCAAACCGTGCTAGGATTGGCAGAGATGGACAGTCACGGCTGCTCAAACGGTCTACGCGAAGAAGAGATCGACGCCGTGGCGATGGCGGTGACTGCCGTCGTCGTGAACACGATGGGCGACAAGGAGTCCTCGTCGCACGACATGTTGATGCGGCTCCGGCAACGAAGAGCGCTGTTGCAGAGCGTTGCAGAGGCGCCGGATTGCGCGGCGACGTGTGAGGCAGTCGTCCAGTTGTGTGTTGCGCTGACGTCTGGCGTTTTTCCGCGGCAGACTCCACGATGGTGGATTAAACGACGGACTGGCAGGACATGGGAGGACCTCCGGCTTCGGGACAACGCGACGGACGAGTACTTCCGGCAAAATCTGCGCATGTCGACGACCATGTTTAACCAGATCGTAGCCGTGTGCGACGCGTACATGGAGAAGAAGGTGACGCATTATCGAATGCCATTGCCAGTGGAGCAGCTGATTGCTTTCACGTTATACAGGTGGGCATCCGGAGAGACGTACGAGAACGGCACGTCAGCATTTGGCATCGACAGGGCAACTGGACTGCAGGCCGTCCGCGACGTCACTTCGGCGCTGCTGCAGGCGTACCCCGATGCGATAAAGTGGCCAATGGGCAGGAGACGTGCGCAGATTCTGCGCGCTTTCCGTGAGAAGGGTTTCCCAAGCTGCTTCGGCGCTATCGACTGTACACACATATACATTGACAAGCCCGCCGACGCTTCTTCCGAGAACTAGGACCGCAAGCAAAAGTTCTCCGTGCAGGCGCAGGTGGTTGTGGATTTGGATTTGCGGATCCTCGACGTCCACGTGGGATACTCTGGAAGTGTGCACGACATCCGTGTCCTGCACAATTCCCAATTGTTTAGGCGTGCAGAAAGTGGCGGGCTGTTCGACGCAACTCCGGAGAATCTGCCGCACGGTGTCGTCACGCGAGGCTACCTGTTGGGCGACAACGGTTATCCAGTTGCCTGTCCGTGGATTGTGTCGCCGTACGGAGGAATCGACCAAGATGCTGACGCGGAGCGCTTCGACACGCGGCAAAAGGTGGCACGGGGGTGTGTGGAGAGGGCATTCGGCCGACTCAAGTGCATGTGGTGTCTGTTCTTGCGCACCCATAAGACGAACCTAGAGACCTTGCCACAACAATTCGTGGCTGTCTGCACTCTCCACAATATCCTCCTGGACGCGGGGATCGACTTCGACGAGAACCTTCTGTGGGAGGTGGATGCGAACGACGTTCGGCGTAGAGTGGACTTGGGTATTGTGGGGAACGACGAACGCGGGAGGGGACGGTGCACAAACGTGGAAGGTGAATTGTTGAGGGATGCACTGCGAGACCGCCTAACTTTGATGTAGGACCGTGTGGTAGGGAGGTGGTGCACACGGGGTGGTTCGATCGGTAGGCGGATGGAGTTATTACGTGGTCCATGTCCATGGTCGTCGTGCGCGTGGTTGGTTGGTCGATGGAACGGCGACATGATTGTCGTCGACCAGTTCACATTATCGTTTTCATGCTGTTGATGGCTACCTGGTTCGCACAATTGTGCGAAGTTTAAAAATTGGAAGGACCTTTTTTTTTGCCAGTGTGTGTCCTCGTCGTTAGGACTTTTTGTCATTTTATATATTTTTCCTGTCTTCAAATCGTTTGTGATGAACGGTGTCGTGCGATGGGAAACATGGTTGTTGCTGGTTTTTTTTTTTTTTTTTTTTTTTTTTTTTTTTTTTTTTTTTTTTTTTTTTTTTTTTTTTTTTTTTTTTTTTTTTTTTTTTTTTTTTTTTTGCTATCCATCTATGGAAATGTTGTTTATCTTTATCGGTTTTTTGTGCATATCTTCATTTCAGTTTCCATGACCGGTTTCGTGTGCTGTTGTGGTGGGATGACATGTGCAACATGCTTCTGTACAATGCCGACATGCATTCTCTCAATCCGTGATCAACGCATGTCTCTTGCATGTCGTGAAGCCAATACGAAGAACAAGAACAAGTGAAGCGCAGACAAGGACACTGCATGACACGCACGACAGTTGTGTCTCACAAAAGACATGACGACATTCATCACACCGACATATGACAGACTCGTGAGAGTTGTCACACACATCGCAAAAAGGAAAACAACAATTAACCGCCACGCGCTTCAAATCGTCCGAGACAACGAGGAGCACCATGCATTGATAAAACAACGACGTGCGCTGAACGCATAAAAAGAAGAAGAAAAAAAAAGGTGCAAACCATTCATCCCGTGCTGGCGCTACTGGCCGCACACTAAACACCTACGCCACCGTCGAAGATTCAGATGAATCCCTCCGGCCAACACGCTAACCACCGAAACTACAATGACACAATCGAACTGAATCAACCCGTGCTTATGCCACGGGCGCCACAATAAACCTGTGCACAATGATGAAGGAGGACTCTGGCGAATCCCGACGGCCGACACGCTAATCAGGTGCGCCACGCACGACACTCCAATCACACGACAACCCGTCACGTCTCGCCACGCGTACATACGCCTTCGTTCTTAGAAGCGCTGTCTCCCCGCTCTCCCCCCGCATACCAGCCCGCCTTATGCGTCGTCTTTTTCTTCGCCTTTGATGTCATCATCGGCGGGGCCCGAACCCAACCAATCCAGCCTCTTCGCATCCTCCAGCCCCTTGATGGTCGCGTCGTGCTCAAATCCGATGACGCATGGTGCCCAATCAGGGATGTAGTCGGGGTACACTCCGAGCGTGGCTTTCGCCTTCCCAAGCCTCTCCGTGACGACGTTCGCGGCGCGGACGACGGATCATCGATGATCGAAGGACCGATGCATGGAGGCGATTAGTGTCGGCCTGGCGACTAGATCCACGAAGTAAAATGCTTTGTAGTGACTGCGCGGATCGTCTCCCGCCATGCGCATAATCCACATGGACGCCGCCAGCAACAGCCTGAAGCAGTCAGCCACCCGACATAGACGTTCGTAGGAGATGAAATCGTCGTCGATGTGAGCGCCCATTTGCACTGCCGCGCGGAACGAATGCGCGATGCTGATGATGGTGGACTCCTGGTACGCAGCCATGTCGTCGTCCTCATGTTTGTCCTCGATATTCGCGCCAGCGTACCACAGTGGAAGGTCCATGTTCAGATCTATCGTGTGGGCGCACATCGGCGCGCTGACGACGTTGCGCCACTCCTCGCCGTACCACATTGCACGCGAATGTCCGTCGCTACGGACTCCAACGAGTACTGGAAAGCAAGGTGGTACCCCCTTGGGCGGTTCCCGTACTTGAAAACCCAGCCGTGCAAGATGCGAAGAGCTATATTCTCCACCGCCGCCGCATGGGAGATCGCTTGCTGGAGCTGTGATTGGTCTGCGATCCTCGCCACCCTCGTGTTGGATTTGGGGACGACAACGCTCCGTGGAAGTTCAGGTGGCTGAAGCCCGCAGGCGATGGCGAGGAAGTACTCTTTGGTTTCGTGGACGACGTTGTAAAGTCTGCGTCCTTCACCCGTCGTCCAGAAAGCTTTGTCATCCACCCAAAGAAGCGCACGGTCGATAAGGACTTTCGTCATGACTCCCCTGCGTGCCCGGCTTGAAGCGGCCTCGCCGCCATCCCGTTGGTTCGTGTTCTGTCCATGACCCTCCTCTCTCACTGTCGCCGGAACTGCAGCCTCCTCTCTCGCCGTCTGAACGGGAGGGACAACACCTGCAACAGCCACACCCGCGCCACCTGCCGCCTCACCCCCTACTGCACGCGCGTCTGCCACGACTCCCCCACCACCACCTCGTTGGCGAGACGCACCGTCAACACCGTCGTTGCGCTGACGCGGATGAGACGGCGTGCAGGGCAGTGAACCTGTGATCGGCCTTTCATCCTCCGCAACGCGAGCCGTCGACACCGCCGCTGTGGTCGCTTGTGTCGCACTGTGCAGGCGACGTTTTTCCAAAGGCTCGTCGTCTTCGCCGCCAAGGTCCACCACAACACCCTTCTCTTTCCACGTTTGGCGGACACGCAGCTGCTGCGCCTCCGGCCTCCGGCCTCCGGCGGAGGGGTTAACATCCTCTTCGAAGCGCTCTGATCCGGAGTACGCTGCCTGACACTCTCCCGCCTGCAGACGCCGTCGCCTTGCCTTGATCGTCCTCCGTCGTGAAATCATCGTCGTTGTCCTCTTCTGCGGCTTGCGCCCAACTTCGCACTCCACGATGCGGCACGCTTGCTGACGCATTATCCAAATGTAGCCTCTTCGCCTTTGGGACGTGCCGCCGACCTTTCCCCTGGGCTTGGGTTTCGTCAAGCGCGACGTCGCGCTTCTTGCCACGGGGGTTCAATCGCGCAGACATGCTTGCTGGGGACCCCCACAAGCGATCTCGGTGTAGCGCTCGGCTGACGTGTGCTGTTTCGTCGAAAAAGATGTCACCCGTCTCTTGCCCTGTCTCTTATACACATCTAGATGTGTATAAGAGACAGCTCCCGTCCTGCAGATGCCGTCGCCTCGCCTTGATCGTCCTCCGTCATGAAATCATCGTCGTTGTCCTCTTCCGCCGGCTGCGACCAACCTCGCGCACCACGATGCGGCACGCTTGCTGACGCATCATCCAAACGTGGCCTCTTCGCCTTCGGGACGTGCCGACGACCTTTCCCCTGGGCTTGGGTTTCATCAAACGCGACATCGCGCTTCTTGCCACGGGCGTTCAATCGAGCAGACATGCTTGCTGGGGACCCCCACAAGCGATCTCGGTGTAGCGCTCGGCTGACGTGTGCTGTTTCGTCGAAAAAGATGTCACCCGTCTCTTGCCAGCTTGGCGAGAACTACTATCCCGATGACGCTCAAGATGTGTCCACCGCTGCAGGAAGACGACGATGCGCAAGCGCACCACGGAAGGATGATGTCCCTGGCGACACCTGTCCTTCGCGATGGCGGGAGTGCTCCGCGGCGAGAAGATTGACTGCCAGAAGAGCGGAAGCGATGACGTTGAGAAGCGTTGTGGCACTGCAGATGCGCGGCGGGAAGTGTGCAGCTGGCCCGACGAGAAGCGTTGTGGCACTGTAGATGCGCGGCGGGAACCTTGCAGCGCGCCCGACGAGAAGCGTTGTGCCACTGCAGATGCGCGGCGGGAACCTTGCAGCGCGCCTGACGAGAAGCATTGTGGCACTGCAGATGCGCGGCGGGAACCTACCAGCGCGCCCGGCGAGAAGCGTTGTGGCACTGCAGATGCGCAGCGGGAAGTGTGCAGCTGGCACGGCGAGAAGCGTTGTGGAATCACCCTCGTGCGGACGACATTTATGCGGCTCCGGATGCGCAACACTGAAATGACACTAGCAGAAAGACCGTCCACGACGTCGCGTCCTCGTGGCGGGAAAACGGAACGACGACGGTGACGCGTGCTACCGCCATGCCTGTCCAGGCCTGTCGTTATCAAGCTCCCGAAGCCGCGATAAGGCCCTTCCACGTTTGGTCAATGCGCGCAAATGCACTCCGGAAGGACCAAAACAAAGACGGTCCGCCTTCACCCGCGGACACCCCATCGCGCGTCCTCCTCGCAGCAAACGACCCCTCCATAGCCCCCCCCCCCACAACCCGCTTCCACAGCAAACCGCGCCGTCCACAAACCCCATAGAACACACCCCCTTTCGGCAGTGGCTGTGTGTGTGTCGATCAACCAAAACGCAGACGATGGGTGGTCCTCGAAAATGCAGACTACCCCAAAAAACACACACACACATACACACACACACACACACACACACACACCTCCCCCCCTCTCGTCATGACCGCAGGACCCGACCTTCACATCCCGCCAAGTTCGCACGAAACCCCACCCTCTCGCCGCCCCCAATTCTCCGTCGACTACTTGGCATTGCTTCCGCGGCAGCCGTCCACGAGCACCGGCAATGGCAACATCATGAAACTCACAACCAAAAACAAAAAAAAAACTCGATGACGACGGCAAAGAACCAACTTTGATCAACACAGCACGTAATGGCCTACATGGACGACCGACCACGAATGGCGGCAGCGATCTCCAACAGTGTGTGGCACATCATCCTTTGCATCTCATCGGACGCCGCATAGTGCGTTTTTTGGACGACAATTTCCTGCTCCAATATGTCGCATTGCCTCGTGAAGGTGCTGCATTGCCGCTTGCTAGACGATTCGATCGTGGACGACATCAGTGCGCCATGGCGTTCCATGACATCAAAGATGGACTCGAATGCCTGTTGGCGCGCTTTCTTCCGCTTCCCGCCTCCCGCCCCGCTGCCTACGTTGCTGTCGGACTCCCTCGCAGAAGAACGCTCGTCAGGGCAGCCTTCACCGGCCGCCTCACTACAAACAGACTCCCCGCCACCCGCTCCTCGCCTGGGCAGCTGCACCCCATCCGGACTGCCTGTGTCGGCAACGTTGGGAGGGAAAATCGTGTGGTTCCCCACCATGCCTGCGTGGATCTCGTTGTACAGCGCCCTGTCCATCCGGAACGTAAAGTTGTGCTCCTTCCTCTCTTCGTTCGTCAGCCTGAAAAAATCTGGCCGCCCGTTGGCATTCTGAAACCTCTGAATTTTCTTGTAGTTCTAGAACAGATTGTCCCACTTCTTCATGCAGTCGTCAGCGTCCTTCGGCCTCCCCGCATTCGCCATCCGCTTCGACATGTCCTCCCACTTCCACTCTTTCGTCTTCATCCGCCCGTAATTATGAGACAAGCCGGCGAGGTGCATATCTTGCTCCCGCTTGCATCGCACCAGGAGCATTTGGTCTTCTGCAGACCAGTACGTCGGAGACTTTCCGGCGTCGTCACTCACGCCACCTCTGCCTCCACGGGCAACGGATCGACCACAGACACCACCTCTGCCGCGTCCTCTCCCCCTCCCCGCTGCCTTCCCCAAAGGCCGAATTGGAACGTCGTCGTCGTCGTCCCCCGCTTCCACGTCTTCCCTCATCCCTTCGTCTGCGTCGTCACCGAATCCAACGTCGTCTTCGCCTCCATCGCTGTGTGCCCGCATGTTCGACCCTCCACGTGTTATGTTCTCCACAGTGGGTCGTGGACGTACCGGCGCTCTGCACGTTCCCTCGTCCCTCAGTCCGGATTCGATCGGTGTTGTGCACGCAGGCATCAGCGAACGTGCACCGCCCATGCGCAGGGGCCCTGCTGCTACCCCGGGGGGTGCGGGCCAGGTCCGTGTCAATCGATCGACGGACGGAGCAGTCGATCCATGCTGCCGTCCCGCTGGCGATGGCCCGACCGCACTAGTCACGGGTGCAGCGCGACGAAGTGTGGACTGCTCCATATGCAGACTTCCACCATGCTCAATGCCAAGTGCCGAACGATCTCCGTCGATGATGAACGTACGGCTCGCCTCCCTGCCGCCGCCAGAACACAACCCGAACCTCAGATCAATTCCTCTGTCGTCGTCGTCCCGCAAACCTTGATGCAGCAATGACGTGAACTCGCCCCCTTCGTCGAGAGCCGACCCGCCTGCTCGCACCGTCTGCGACCACAACTGAGTCGAGCCGCTAGAGAGAGGCAACGTCGAAAGTTCTTCCTTCTCCGGCTCCTCGTTCGACGGGGGCAATGGCGTGTCCCACGGCTCCAGATGGGTGTACATGGACGGGTTGTACCGCCTTCGAGGCTCCGCCGCAGAAGATCGAACTCCTCCCTGACCTGCGGTAGCAGCCGGTCGTGCCTGCATGCCTGCCGTTAGACGTTCGGCTGCCGCCCTTCTCGTCGAAGCCCTCCTCTTGCGTTGTTGTTTCCACGGCCGCCACGAAAAACACACGTGGAGGAAGATGACAATCAGGAAGACGACGACAGCGAGTACCAGCAGAGTCAATCTCCTCCGCACGTCGGCCATGAAATTCACCTATGCAGCCGCCCTCGCACATGACCACTGCAGATGTGTGTTCCGACATGCCCGGGACAGGGGCGCTCGACCTTCATATGTGGACAACCACCACAGAAGACGACGACCATGCCCACCTTCCTTTTGAAAATCGACCGTTGCAGCCCGCGCTGCCCAAAGCGGCTCCGTCTGTCGTCCTGCGCACGTCGACGTCCCACTCCGCATCTCGCAAGCGACCCAACGGTCCAGTACGGGCAACCACCCGCCGACGCCCGACCCTCCGCGCTCCACCCCCTCTGCCAACGGCTACCGTGCGTGGCCGTTGCCCGCGTCGAGCCGCAGAAAACCTCCGATGTCCGACCACCGACTCGACGGACCACTTTTGGACCACCAACGAGTGTCGACGGTGCCATGCGCGCGATGCAACGACTCCGTGAAACCCGAGAATCCTAAATTTTTCAGTAGGTCGGGGGCTACTGGAAAATTTAGGACGATTTTGCCTAGGGAATCCTAAATCTTTTAGGACTCGTCCTAACGCCGTTTTCACATTTTTGATCTCCGATTTCGTTTTAGGACTGTGTGCAACGAGGACGCAATCCTAAAAACAGGCATTTTTAGGAGTGTCTAACGAGACTCTAAGGATGAGAAAGACCCGTCGCCTACACCCAAGCTAGGTAATGGTCCCAGAAACAATTTTTATTTCATTTTCAGGGTTGCTTGTTGAGGATTCCCAGCCTCTTCTTTTTTTCTTTTTTAAATTTGGAACTGCATTCGATGCACTTTCGTCCAAATCTTTTTTTTCCTTCTTTTTTTTCTTTTTTTTCTTTTTTTTTTTGCTTTCGTCCAAGTCATGAAATATAACATAGAGTGTGAAGTGGTATGAACAAGGTGTCAATCACTTTAACAAAGGGTCTCGTTAGATACTCCTACACACTTTACGCACAGTGTCACTCCATTACCGTAACGCAGGTCGAATTGAGCACAAAAAAACCAACTTGATCTGTCGCTGACGGGTTTCCATTGCCACCGCAGGAAATGATCTTGGGGGGCCTACTTCCACCTCTTACACCACCAGTAAATTTCCCATCCATTTTTGAAGACACGCCGTGCATGCGGGCGCATCGAGCGGGATGTGCCAGGGTGGCATCTGCCTGGAAATCCATCCAGGCAAAATGGGTCACATGCAAGGCCCGATTTGCCCGGAAGGATTTTCGGGTGAACGGGGCACCCTGGTACGACATCCCATCCGAAGCGCCTGCATGCTCGGCGCGTCCTAGAAAATGGCCGGGAAACGTACTGGTGATCTAACTACCACCAACAGTACTTGGCCCAGCTATCGGCCACGGGAAAAAATAGAGTCGAAACGTTTATAGTGGGATGAATTCGGACGCTCCTGTAATGCCCCGTACGTTTCCTGAAATTGTGGCTTGTTAACGGCGACAACTTTAGGAAGTACTGGTGGTTTAACTGCCACCATACTTAAACCGGTGGTTTAAGAGGTGGAAGTACGTGGTCCGATGTACAGGCCAAGTACTTCCACCTCTTAAACCCCCAGTGCTTGGCCCGGGCATCGGACGCGGGCCTTGACGTTAACGTGCCGCGATAACCGGGCTGCGGGGCCTGCGCCAACCAAAACGGAAAAAAAAAGTGTTGCGCTGGCGGTTTGACAAACCTCGGTGCGCATGGCGTTTGGAACCCCCGGCCCGAAGAAAGTGGCCGGAAGTACTGCTGTGGTCATTTAAATACCACCATGCTTAACTTAAACATGGCTTGAGGGGGTCCGGAACTTCCACCTCGAACCAGAAGCCTTAGGTCTATCCATAGCCTTAGGCTAGCCTTCCTTTGATATAAAAAATCATGTAAATATGATCCCACCCCCATCTTGTCACCAATGCACCTTCCAATACTTGCGCCTGGAGGCTCCCTCCGTAGAATTCACACTACCCTGCTCGCCCATCATGATCGATACCCTGCATACGCTGAAGTTCAGTATTCAACCGAAGTAGTTTCATTAAAGTACGTGTATTTATACTTACAAGAGAATATTAAAATTTTATCATTTCGTTATTCAGTAACAGAACTGAAATATCCAACAGAAAAATTCAAGACATAAAAGTTTAGTTGAAGGAAAGCCTAACTCAATAATTTTCAGGTTAATTTGAAAAATTTCAGTTTATGAAGAGATTTTTCAGTTTATGGAGATCACTTTTATATCTAAATAAACTGAAAAGTATTGTTTGCCTGAAAGTTCGGGAACAATCTTGAAAATTCCAATATAACATTTCAGTTTAATACAAACTGAAATATTATGTATTGCCTGAAATAAAACTGAAATATTATTTTTCAGTTTAACATGACTTGAAGATATAATCGTTATTAAACAGAAATGTTCCCTTTGGGTAGATACTTAAACGGAAATATGATTTATTGTCGGAAAGTTAAGAGGAATGAACGGAAAGGTAAACTGAAATGTTATTTCTGGACGGAAAATTCAATTGAAAGTTTGTCTTTAAGGAAAAGATAACCTGAATTCGTTTAGATTGTGTGAAATTAAAAACTGAAAGTTTATTTTTCCTGGGAAAAATGAACTGAATTTGTTATGTTTAACAAAAATTATGCATTATTTTTTTTTTTTTTTTGAGTAACTGTCACAAGGGTTTTTAACCTATAAAGTTGCCCATCTGGTTCACATGAATGCTGGAGATCTACTAAATGACATCGCAACAGTGGGTGCCCACCTTGGTACCGTGACAGAACGTATTTTTTTCTAGTGGCACCCACTAAATGGCCTACTTGGAAAAGTTCCCGACAAGGGTTTAATAAGGTTGAAAACAGTCAAGGAAAAAACAAAACATTTAACCGTTTTGATCTCTTGCAACTCAAATGCTTCCATACACTTTTTGACTAACAATCATGCTGAAAATCATTGGAAAAAAAAGGGAAAAAAAAAAAAAACTGAAATCATCTCACACCCCTTTGAGTCTTTTTCTACCCCTTCAAACCCCATCTATACCCTTCAACTCCCCGCAAGTAAGACATTCAAGTTGAGGCTAGATTTGGGCACATCAAGGGGTTGAAATAGTCGACCGCTAGAAAAAAGAAAAGACCAGGATGACCTACACAGATACCCGAGGCGATTGGACTCGTAGTATTGGCATGGGTACCAACTGGGCAAGTAACCTAGACGGATGCACAGTATAGTATACAAATAGTTGTATGCACTACTTTTATCCAACTCGTGAATTTCCTTGCTGCCAAACTGTTTCTCATATTGTTACCAATCCGACTTAGAAATGTGCCATACACACACACACACACACACACACACACACACAGAGAGAGAGAGAGAGAGAGAGAGAGAGAGAGAGAGAGAGAGAGAGAGAGAGAGAGAGAGNGAGAGAGAGAGAGAGAGAGAGAGAGAGAGAGAGAGAGAGAGAGAGAGAGAGAGAGAGAGAGCAAGACAGTAAGTTGTTTATCGACATGTAACAAATAACAGGATTGACAATCTAGTAGACAAATGGAAAAGCCATCTATTTCAGTAACCCAAAACACTGCTTGACAGATAGCCACAATTCAATAACACCATTCAATAACTTTCAAATCCATGTATAGTCACAATTCAATGACACCATTTAATAACTTTCAAAGCAATGTCCTTTAAGTGCTGAGTAAAGGTAATGAACAATGAAAACAACAAATGCCAACTTCAATGCACATCTGTTCAAAATGAGAGCGCTGAAACAGAATAACTCTCAATAATTAGGAGCCCCAATATCTCGCAATCCCTCTCCTTCTCTTAACTCTTCTATCTCATATAAAAAGTAGCTATGACAGACTCTCTTTTGCAACAAGGAACCTTATGTCCAACCTCTCTAGCTTTTCTAACCTCTCCAGACCAACTAACCTAACCTCCCGCCTTCCCAAAATCCCCAGAGATCTAATGCCACAAGAAAAAGTCTTGATTGAAGATGCCACTCTCTTAAAGCCTTGAAGTCTTCTTCTTCGATGTAGCTATGACCACCACTAGCCAAGTAAGCTTCTTTCAGCCTCAGGCTTCTTTTCTCTTTTTGAGTTTTCCTCCTCTCCAAAAGCTTGACAAATGAGCAGTGTGGACTCAGACAAGCTAGCCAGGCCCTGCAAGTGAAATGCAAGCACATGAAAAATTGGAAACACTGAAAATCAGATATCAATTCAATATCCACATGTTGAACAGAATAATGACAAATTTAAGAACGAGAAAAAAATAGTAAGATAAACAAGGATAGAAACATGAAACTAGGCCTTCAACTATGGCATGGTCATGGTGAGACCTTTGTGGATGTGTTTAACCATAACAATGTCTAAATTTTGTTGAGGAAACTACCAGCCTTCCACGTCCCTCTCCCGCCCCCTTCAGGCCCTTTTCCACACACTACTCTCACCCTTCCCAGAGTTTATTATCCACTAGGTCCACCCTTCCCAAAGTTTATTATCCTTTTTATTCATTGGAAACTATTGGAAAGGCACCAAACAAAAGCATTCCTCTGGTTTCTCGAAAGCAAAGACAGTCCTCCCCTTCCCTCGACCCAACCTCAGTCACCTCCGCGATGAGCAGAAGGGACGATAACAAGACCAAGGGAGCTTGAAGGCAACATGCAATAAGAGTCAGAAAACACCATCGACGACAATACCAAAATGAGGGAGGCACAACAATTCCACACCGAGAGTTATTGACACCAACCATTCTTGTATGCAGTACCAGCACAACACGTCATGTCATTCCATGTTATCGCAATCTTCAGATGATTTGACTATTGTCACAGCATGATAATTACACCAGCAAGGTGAGGGAGCACAGGCACGGAGATAAAGTGAGCCCATTTTCCAAAAAATAAAAGTCCTTAAAGGCACATAGTGATCTCTAACCTTGTTGTGTCGGGGAGACGCTCAGTGATTTCACACTCCCTGTGTGGCCCTTCATAACAACAGTCTCCTTCCGTGTCTCGACATCCCACATCCTGACCTGAAACCAGCATACAGAGACGGAGCAAACCAATGCCACATGTTTCATCATCATGTAGTCTGCAAGACAATCATGCTCTTCCTTCCCTGAAAGGTTTGTACCATTCACATGTCCAAATCAGACCCCAAAAGTCACAATCAAGTAGCACAATTGAATACAGAGGCAGCACCTTGTGTTCAACAACGTTACCCCCAG